TCTTTTTTTTTTTTTTTTTTTCCCCACAGACGCAAATCATTCGCGTAGTCAATGACTTCAATTATCTCACCGCGTTGTCCCAGCCCTTGCACTGCGCTTGTATCCGGGTAAACCAAAGAAGATGGATATAAACGGTCCCATTAGAAAGTTCCGGTTTTGTTCTATGAACATTTACCCTGTGTGGTTTTACACGACGCGTCGACCCTAAAATTCCACGTCTAATAATTTTTATAATCGACAACATCGATTACGTCGGATAATCGTCCCAGCCCTAATACTTATGTACATGTGATATTTCTGTTTTTTATTTTTAATAAATTTGCAAAAATTTCTAAAAAACCTTGTCATTATGGGGTATTGTGTGTAGATTGATGAGGAAAAAAAGGAATTTAATCCATTTTGGAATAAGGCTGTAACATAACAAAATGTGGGGAAAGTGAAGGGGTGTGAATACTTTCCGGATGCACTGTATATAGATAAGTTATTTGCTATATTTTTGAACAGTTGCGCGCAAACTTGAACATTAATAGCTCAGATTTCCTTAGATATTTTCAGCTACGTGATGTTGCAAGGACCCACTCTTCCATATTTCCTCATTTACTTATGTATTTATTTACTTATTTGTTCATCTGGCTGCTGTAGGGGGGCGGGTTGGGATGGAACATAGATATAGGACATTGCTGGGCAATATTTTTTTCCAGTGGGCCATAAAGACTCCGTTAAAGTAAGTGAAGGGCCACACAATTGGAAATAAAATTTAAACATGAAATATTTACTGCAGAATTACTTTAAACTACCGGTACATAGATTTGGTGGGCTTGATTGTGTTATTCACTAGCCCTTTTTAAACAAATACATGATCATACTCATGAATATTACTATTAACAACTCAATTAACTACTATGATTCAGTGAGACTGCTCATCAATCACTTCCAAATGCCTGGTAACAGTCCGACGAGACAGACTGATTTTTTTCAAACTGACTTTTATTGTCAGGGCACAGGATGCTAGCAGTCTCAACCATACAGTCTTTCAAAAACTCACCCTCTGAGAACGACCTGCTGTGTTTGGCTAGCTTAAGAGCCGGCATGTAGCTTACTTTTGTGACTGTCTCTTGTATGGCCGTCTGCTTCACAAAAATATTCTGACGGGCGGTTAAATCGGAGGACAATTTCAGGGCCTTTGTTCTCTCTCCCGCAACGACAGGTTGGTGGTATAGTTGGCATGCTTGGTCGAAAAATGTCTCTTAATATTATATTCTTTGAAAACAGAAATTGCATTTTGGCATATCAGGCATACAGCCTTTGAACCCACATGAGTAACAAAATATTTATAAGTCCACTCTGTGTTAAAAACACGACATTCCGAATCAACTTTTTTCTTTTTCATAGCACTCATCCTGATGATCATCGAACTGTCTATGCAAGAGTCAAGGAAGCGCATTTTCACCCACTCCAAATTAAAATAGCGCCCTCTGTTGCAATCAGATCGTATAGCAGTTCAAACTCATATGCCTCTATAATGTAGGATTTTTTTTTTTTTTCTTCTTTTCTCCTCTGTGGATGTCGCAGGCCAGACTGAGACAGCCCACGGGCCGGGTCTGGCCCGCGGGCCGTAAAATGCCCATGTGTGATGTAGGAGATCATAAAGAAAAATGAAAATGATGTCAGGCTGCATCTGCACTACCTGTTGACCACTTTGTTCAATAAAATATATTTAAAAAACTAGGAAGAACAACAGATGACAGAGTTTGTTTCTTACAGATTGGAAAGATGAGATATGTCAGCGTCAGGGACTTCAAAGGTAAAGTCCTGATTGACATCAGAGAGTACTGGATGAACCAGGATGGGGAGATGAAGCCGGGAAAGAAAGGTGATCACATCAGTAATCTTTAAATTAGTTTGATTGACATACATATGGATGTCTGATATTGTTAGTGGTATGTGGTGAAGCTCTGTCTTAAATCTCTTGCAGGTATCTCCCTGAATCCTGAACAGTGGAACCAACTGAAGGACCAGATTTCAGAAATCGATGATGCCATTAAGAGAATATAAGCATTCCTGTCAGTGTTATCTGTCGGCTCACCCGTTTTGTAAAAAGCCTGGGATTGTTTTTTACTTGTTTAATTTGTAGTTGTATAGCTCCAATGTCATCTGCATACTTATGTGTTTGTGTGAAACTTGTGTTTGAGCTGTTGTAGTGAAGGTGTGTGTGGATGAGTAGGTGATCGATCATCACAGCTGGTGGGAAGGGTTCGTCAATACAGTGATGTTTTTGTATCAAATAATAAAAATGAGGCACTAGTTTAATATTGTTGTTCAGTTAATGTTGAAGTTTGTGTTCAAAGTTTGACCCTCATGTAAATAGAAATGATAAGCCTGCTTCAGCTGACCTTTGTTTTATATAGTACCCAATATTCATGTCTGAGAGACAAGCCCAGACTGTTGCGCTGTACTTTTAGGTAAGTAGATTCAGATCTGGAAAAATAAAAGATCCCATTTAACAGACTGGCATATTAAACGATTGTAATGATTGAAAAGCACCTCTGTCAGTCACAAAGAATGTGAGTTGGGGACCAGTGAATGAGGCTTGTGGTACTTTAGTGAGTAAATACAAAAGCTGTAAATTTTCTCCAAACTTAGTGGATGTTTGTGAGAAGATAAAAGTAGATCAGGGGACACCATAAGTTGTGTATGGGTCATAACAGTACTACAATTTTTGAACTGAATGATGGACATTTACTTTTCATTAATGTCATTTTTCCTCAAATTATTCACTCTTAACACTGAATTGACTGACATTATTGGAAATACCTGAAAAAATTCTGCAGTTTATCAGATTATAATAGGATTATAATTTATTATAGCTATGAGAAATGTGATGCCCAGCAGTTAAGTGTAATGACAGTTTACCTTGTAAGTCATTAAGTGAGCCTATTACATGTTATGATTATTGTAAGAAAGTATTATGACTGTTTATGAGTCCTTGTAGTATAATTACTCAATGCTATAAGCCAATTATAATGTATGATGAATGTTTGTAAAACATTAAAGACATGGGCTTCATGGAGTGTTAGAACAACAACGTTCAAACTGCTGCCTTGACAGTCCATATCTTACCCCAACCCCATTCCTCTGATCTTTAAAACAAAGTGACACACCCAGCTGAAACAAGCAAAGCTTCTGAGCCATGTAGCATTCGGCCCAGCCGTTGTAATTCATTTTGTGAGTACTCCATGGATCATCATAGCTGTTGTCCCACACCCCTCCAGTAGGTGGTTCCCCTGCCCATTGCAGAAGATGAAGATCAGCCTTGACTTTTTCTAAAATGGTCGACTCGAGGGGTGTCGAGTGGCGCAGGGGGTTGAGCAGGCACCCCATATGTAGAGGCTACAGTCCTCGCTGCAGTCGGCTCGGTTCGAATCCTGCATTGGACGGCCCTTTACTGCATGTCATTCCCCCTCTCTCTGCCTCCCCATTTCCTGTCTCTCTGTACTGTGTTATCATAAAGGCATAAAAAGCCCCCCAAAAAAATATATATATAAAATAGTCGAATCATTTGCCTCCCTCTCAAAAAAGTCAATCACAATTGTAGCACTATCTACAGGTCAGCTTCCTCCCTCCACCCTCCTGAGGGAGATGCTCCCTGAGACAACGAGAGAGAAAATGATTTGTAAACTGCTTCGGCAATAACATGTTTTTGTTAATGCCAATAAAACTATTTATTGATTAAGATATTTGAATTTAAATTTGAATGGGGGGGGGGGCAATTTCCAGGCACTGAAATCTCTGGTAGAGAGAGTAAACACCTCCCCTTGGGAACTCCAGCCTCATGCCAGTAAGACATGCTCTCCAACTGTCTGTAGCATCCCAAATGAGAAGGAGCATCATGATGACAGAGAACGTACCCTGATTCTTCCACATCACCTCCACATCAGACCTTCACAGACCTGAAGGACCACTTCACCCAGTGAAAAGTAGACCTGATGCAGCTCAAAGAAATCATCCTGAATCAGACAGACACTCAGCACAGCTCTTAAAACAACAAATGGAACAGATGAGAAAAGAGCAAGAAAACATACAGGTAACCCATGAAAAACAATCACTCAGACACAGAGAAAGCCACAAGAAAGAGCTGTTCACTATGACTGAATAAGTGAGAGAGCTAGATCACGAGAGAGAAAGTCACAGGAAAGAGTTTGCTGCTCTAAAAGACTTCTAGAACTGCAGCTAGAGAGGGAGAGCCACAAGATTCAACTTGTTGTTCTGTCAGAAGAACTCAAGGAGAAGAACAGAGCATGGGACGGTTTGAAGGAACAGGTGACCTCCCTCACAGTCTGAGCCACTGAAGACTGACCATGGTCAACATCCAACAGTGAGCCCCACCCCCCCAGAACACCCAGCAAGATGATTCCTCCTTCAACCAGAGCAGCCAGAGTCCAGCAGTCACACCACACACTCAGATGGTCCTACCAGTGCAGATAGTCACACTGCAAAAGCAGATGTTGTGTTACTGATCCACTACTGAAAGTCAGCATCACCAGAGACTGTGAACCATGGCCAAATTTTGTCCAACACCCCTCTGTCACTGTACGATCTTTATGATCATGTACACCTCCTCAAGGAAGCAGTTCCCACTGTTCACTAAGACAATGAAATATGTCACGGTGAACCAAGGAGGAACAGTTAAGAGGCAGAGCAACACAGGAACCCCCAACATTAAAATAGCAGAAAGCAGAGCCTACCAAGCCAGGCCCAAGCAGCAGCACCCACAACCACCGCCACAATGCAGACCTCATGAGAACATCAGACATACCCAGTCTGCAAGAACCAACCCTAGACCCAGGACCTCACCACCTCCCAGACATTTCCACCACCTCCACCACCACCACAACAGCAGCAGTAGATCCAGCGAGGCAGACTGTCCTATTCCGAGTTGGTGTAAGGAACAGCAGGCCCTGCCCACAGTGAACTGAGAGACATCAGGACATGCTGGGTACATAATGCTCTCATCTTATGGGTGACAGTCATGATCAGTGGTAATGAGCAGGCAATTGTTCTTCTTCCACTGGCCAAACTAAACACTGGATGTACACACAAGTTACAAACTTGAAATTTATGGTCTATGTAATTGGTGGTCTATGCAATTTATATTCCACCAACAGAATCTCCATATTTCATTGTAGAGATTTTCTCCTCCATAGAAGAAGAGATCAGTCATTTCCAGGCCCAGGAATCTGTGCTGATGACTGGAGATTTAAATGCTAGAACTGGGGAGGAACTAGACTTTACAAGTACTGAAGGTGGCAATTACATCACCGTGGCTAACCTTAACTTCCCTAACCTTCCCAAGAGGAAGAACTGTGACAAAAACATAAACGAGTGGAAAACAAGTCTTATAGCTTTGTAGAGCACTGGGTCTGCACATTGTCAATGGAAGGCTGTGAGAGGGGACTCCTTTAGACGTTATACATATTGTTAAAACCTTGGCAGCAGTACTGTTGATTATGCTATAATCAACAGTATCAGATCACTGTCAGATCACTTTGTATCTGAAAGGAACAAACCCAGGTAATATATGTTCTTAGCCCTGTAAACTGTACAACATAAATGAGACATATGGATGGGCATCAAACAGTCTGCAGCAATACCAGGAAGCAATCAGTGAAGAAATCCAGTCTCTTCTAGACTCCTCTTTGTTCCAGATCTACACCAAGAATCCAGAAGGTCTAGAGATGTGCCTGGTAAACATTAACCACATATTTGGTCATTTGACTTTATTATCAAATTTAAAATGTAAAACAAAACAACCAAAGAAAATGAACAAGTGGTTTGATTCAGACTGCAAAACCCATAGGAAGACATTAAGAAAAGTCTCAAACCAAAAACACTGTGAGATTCTAAAGTAATATAAAAACACATTGAGAGCAAAAAAAGAACAATATCTGCAAAACCAATCACAGTTCATAGAGTCAAGAGTCTCTGGGGTGAAATCAATTCTGGGAAAACTGGAATTTATTTACCCAGAAACATCACAACGAACAGTTAACAGTATTTGAGATACTTTAAAAAATCATATAGAAGAAAACCTACAAAGCTCAAAGGAAAATCTCAGAAAAACTGAAAGATCTGGAAAGCTATAAAGAATGATCAGACCCCACGGGATTACCTCATCACAGAATCAGAACTGGAAGATAAACTGAAAGTTCTGCAGCCCAGAAAGCATGTGGGCTCAATGGCATCTTAATTGAGATGCCAGCTGGAAATGTAAACTGGCCGTCCTAAAGCTATTTGACTTAATACTAAGTGTTTGTCATTTCCCTTAAAGCTGGAGTGAAGGGCTGATCACACCCATCTTCAAGAATGGAGACAAATCTGATGACAACAATTACAGAGGCATCTGTGTAAGCAGTGACATGGGGAAGTATTTTAAATTCAAGAATTATAGACTTCCTCATAGTTGAAGTTGTGGTGGTTGTTTCTGTACCCTCAGCAAGCCGCCTTTGAGGCTGGTCCTGTACTGTTATGTTTTTCCCCGGTGTTTGGTGATTTTCAGTTTTTGTAAAATAAACCTTCTTCATGCTATACCTCTGAATCATGCAATTCGGGTTGCTGCTCTTTCCTTGATTCACACGTTGACGAGGAGCAAGAGGGAAAAGTGGCCGATTTAAGTAATAATAAAGAGAGACAAAAGTTTTCACGGTCAGGAAGGAGTTGTGGTGGATGGATGAATCATCCGACACAGGAGAGCAGTTATAGTTACAATTCCACAGTTGTTTTCTATTATCCATGACCTTCGTTGTCGGTCATTACTCGGGAGTACGGTAACGACGCATGACAAGCAAAGATTCAATAGAATGTTTATAGGAAGAGTATTTGATTTTAACCCAACATCAATTCTTTTCCTAGACCTTACCAAACGCGGATGACCAGTGTTACGTTATAGTAACCCACTGTCAATGGATACGGTAGCGGTATGGTCACTGGTTTGGTTCAGTTCCGGTGGTATTATTATGTGTACCAATATGACAACAAGTCGTGTTTTTTCAAGAGACAACTAGCTAATGGGTTGTACTCAGCGAGTTGATGGTTGTTCAGGGGTGAAGCGGTTGAGTATTGTCACTGATAGATTGCTACGGAGCATTTTCTATCAGGAGCAGAAAGAAAATAAAAAGGAATGGTGGTGAGGGTAGAAGGAAAAGGGAGAGAGAGTGGAAACAGCAAGAAGCAAGCCAAAAGACAAGTGAATGTAGAGACAAGAAGTGAAATGTGTAAATGACAGTTGGTATCAGAAGTAGCAAAGAAAGGAGCAGGAGGATCAAATTGAAGAAACACGACTTACCATATGGAGGTCTGAAATCACAATGTTAACAGTAGTTATATTAGGAATACAGACACCGAAAACAGGTTCACACATTCGAGTGCTAAACAAAGAGCTGCAATCATATGAGGGACACACAACACACAGAATGTGACAAGGACAACACTGCAGGTCTATAGGATAAACT